AAGCTGCTTGGCCTTTTCTCTGTTTGTTTCGACCCTTTTTTTTTTTTTTTTTTTTTCAATGTATATATTTTTTTTCCCCGGCCCTTCCCCTTATCCCTTTGTGTGTGGAAGGGACGGAGATGGGACGGACTTTTGAGGTGTCGAATTTTGTGGGGGCAGCAGATACCGCGCACTGCCACTTGGGTGAAGGAACGGCCCCGAGAAAAGGGGGTCTCCCAGGATCGAAGGTCCACAGGCGTCTTATTGAGAGCGGAAAGGGATGAGGTCCCGAGGGGGACATCGGCATTGGGGTCTGTCCAGTCAGCTTGCTGGAAAGGGACATGTGCAGGTCCCTCGGCGGATGGCTCAGTGAGCACCCTCCGGATGTGCCAAAYAGTCGGTGGTTGGCGGTTCGGAGTCCCGTTTACACTCTTATAGGGGCCTGCGTGCTTATAGCCCCCTTGCAGTCGACGAAGGCGATGTTCCGGGCGTGGGTTTTGGGACCTTTTTCTGGAGCTACAAGGGACTCTCTGCACACGCTTTGGGTGGTTTCCAGTTTGCGAGGGATGGGCGAGTCGTGCTTTGGTGGTCGAGCGAACATTTTTGCGGTGCCGTTCGGGTCCATTGTCGTCTCTCTCGGAGGGCTTATTTCCCGACAGCTCGGTCGTCGTTGGYGGCGGTCGCGGCTGTCGGGGCTTTCCTATGCTGTGGTGCCGGGTTGTGGATCGTTGCGTTCACCCTCGCTCTTCGTCTTGCGATGATTGGCGCCTGATCGCCGACGACGGTCCGGTTGGCGGTTGTTTGCAGGGTGTGGAGGCGGAGGTGCCCGTCACCGGCTCGCAGCTTCGGCACCATCATCCCGTAAGGTTACGGGGAAAGCTGTTGCAGCTCTGTTGTGGTGTCATCTTCGTGTCCGCACTCACAACAGCGCGTTCCGTTTGTGTTGAGGACGCTCTGCGCTCTGCGCCATCCAAGCAGCGCCATTGAGCGGTTGCGCAGGTGGCCTCGGCCATGCACGTGCTGCTTACCGTATGCGAGGGCGGAGACTTGTGGGATGCGTGATGCACCCTCCGACGGCGTCGCGAGGCTTGGCCCGTCATTTGCCCGACTTTTTGGAATACGCGCTTGTGCCCATCGTGTCCCCCATCCTGTGGTCTCGGTATGCTGCACACCGTGACGGATCGCGTTGCGTCGTGGTTCCACTGCGTTTAGGTTGTGGGCTTCGAAGGCTACTG